TACCTCACCAGCCGCCCGTCAGCAGCAGCCCGACCCACTCACCATCGACGTGCCCTTGCCGCGGCGGCCCCCACTTCCCGCCTCCTCCCCCTCCTCCTCCTCCTCCACTCGGGGCCCCAGTCCTACTGCGGAGAAGGCCGCAGTCAGGGCGTCCACTGCCCCCAGGCCAGCACTGACAGGCACCTCCCCCTCCCCCTCCCCCTGGCCTGGCAGCCCCTCCTGACCCTCCTGACCCTCCCCCTCGTCGCTGCTGCCCTTCTCAGCCAGTGGGTCGTGCAGCGGCGCGGGCCCTATGGCCGGGTTGCGTTCACAAATCTGTGGAGAGAAGCGGGGGGAGGTGTTCATGGGGGGGACGGAAGAAGGGGGGAAAGACGGGAAAGACGGTCAAGACGACAGCAGACAAGTAAAAACACAATCGTCCCATGTCGTACTCCCGCCCGTTCGTACACATGTATACGTAGACATATACACACACACGTGCACGAACATGACTCCGTCTACCCGGGGGACGACGTACCAGCTCCAGAACCTCCGCGGCCTCCGGAACCGGGCTGCCGTCGTCCGCCGCCAGAGGGGGAAGGTCCACCTGCATGGGCACCGCATGGGCACACAAGTTGCCGTACGTGGCACGTACGACAAATCCGTCTTGCGCTTTTTTGCACTTGGGCACACTGTACGACAACCGGGTTATCAGTGTACGAAAACACGATGGCTGTATTGCTGTGGCTGCTTCAAGGCTAATGAGGGATGGACCCTTAGGGGGGTTGGCGGCTCATCTTCCTGTCGAGGCGTTGTGGCGTGTACTCTAAAAAGACTACTACATGCAAAGATTACTGCCATAATCGTGCTTTTCGTTCAGCTGTATTGCTGTGGCTGCTTCAAGGCTAATGAGGGATGGACCCTTAGGGGGGTTGGCGGCTCATCTTCCTGTCGAGGCGTTGTGGCGTGTACTCTAAAAAGACTACTACATGCAAAGATTACTGCCATAATCGTGCTTTTCGTTCAACGCGTCATTCCGTACTGCACGCAGCGGCTTGAAGCGAAGCATGGCTCCGAAACCCTGCACGTCTGTCAGTACGACGTTGGAACAGTACAACACATGAAGGTTTGTCTTTCTAACAATCTCCCCCAGCCCGAGCATCAAACACCTCTCCCTCCCCATTTTCTTTCCCCGCTCCCTCTCCCTCCGAAAATACATAAACACATACGTACATACATACGTGCGTGCGTACATACATACGTGCGTACATCCCAACCCTCCCCACCTGCTCCACGACGTCCACCTCACCCGGGCTGATTCCCGGGGCCACGATGAGATGGTGTACGGCAGGGTCGGCGGAGGGGTTGGCGGGAATCAGGGGGACGCCGGGGGGCTGGGAAGGGGAGGAGGGGCGGGGCGGGGGGAGAGAAAACACACGTGAGGAGGGATGGAGGTGGTGATCGGCGCCGCGCGGTTTCCTGCACGCGACCACCTAAAATTTACACCCATGTACGGCTGCGAGGCTTGTGGCGGATGAGGTACGGGTTTCGTGGTGGCGCGTAGTAGAACAGCTACCTACAGTACTGGCCAGCCAGCCAGCCCTGCAGTATCTCCCTCGTGTCCCTCAGTTGGCGTGTGTGTACGGACAGTACGCGGGGCGGAGTTCTACGACGGTGTGTACGGGAGTACGGGAGGTTGTGAAGCCACCTCAGGACCGCGCTCATCCGAAGACCAAGATCGTGGTCGCACTGTGCACCTGATCGTTTCATTGACCCATTCCCGATAAACCCTCACCCCCCTCCTCCTCCCCCTTCCCTCCCTCCTTTTCCCCTCCCTCCTCCCCCCTCCCCTCCCTCCTTCCCCCTCCCCCTTCCCCCTCCACCTACCCCTCTCGAAGCCGGTTCACCCGGGGCCCCCGTGTGCGGTGCGGGGTAGTGCAGGGTGGCTCCCGGCTCACACGACACCTCGTGCAGGGCGGCAGTCAGGTGGCACACGGAGGCGGGGAGGGAAGGCGACCCGCCGCCAACCGGGGCCGTGTCGGGGCCGGTAGCGGAAGCAGCCGCCTCAGGGGCCTTCATGGCTGTGCTGGATAAGTCGTTCGCGGGGTGGGTGGGTGGGGTGATGCTGTTGGTCCCAGTCCTGGGCTCGTCAATCCCTGTGGGACAGGGGGCTTCACAGATGTGAGGAAGGTGGGGGGAACCCACATGGCCGGGTACGTGTATGGGCGGGTAGGGCGGGTACGTGTATGGGCACGGATAGGTGCCGGAATGGCTCCCGCGCGATGTTCATCAACATCGCTTCGGGAACCGCTGAAGAAATGTTTTGTTACATTTCAAAAAAACATTCTCCAAGGATTATTAAAAGCAATTAAATGGCGGGGTAACGTATGATAGGGTCAGCGCATTAAAGCCGCCGACCCACGGGTCATACAGCAATTCTGTGAACGATCAAATTTGTTTGCGGTGCGACACCACCGAAGCTTAGCCGTGCGCAATATCAAGCCTCTGATGGGGTTGAAGGTGAAGGTGAAGGTGAAGGTGGAGGTGGTGGCTTATATTGTATGCCTTTTTCAGGTCGTGTTGTGCGAGGTCGATCCGACCGTTGAGCATGCGCAGGGTCGTGGGTTCCGGGCGCTTCCGGGCCGTTTCGCGACGGTGCGTGCGCACCTCCGAAAGAAACCGGTGCCGAGGATTGGGCTAAGATAGACGAGCTATGTGGTGAGACTTCACGCTTGCCAATAAGTTGATTATAAAACGAAAACAACAGATGTTATCAAAGGCAGTTCAGGCAGTGTAACTGAAAAATCCACTGTGGGGCCAAGGCTGCTTTTACTCCTGGGCAGTTTGTACGAGCGCGAGCAGACAGTCGAACCAAGTGGCGTCACCAAGTACGACGTGAAGCTCTTAAAAAGATGTTCATCTCATCTGATGAAGATCGCTAATACGGCTGTGATAGTTTCCTTTTCTGTTCGCGGCGTATTTGTGCTTCTGTACAATCCTAAGGGGGTGTTTCCACTTAGGAATAACGTTGCGGATTAACCCCCTGTTCTCCATCGATACCTGCGCAAACGGCTAAGTTGTTGGTTTCAAAACTTACCTCGCCTGTTCAACCTTTGATTCTCATAAGGAACGAAACTATGCGGTAATCAAGGACCTCCGTGCCCTAATTCCATGCCCTAATCCGTGACGTTAATCCTAAGCGGAAACACCCCCTAGAAATACAAATGCCGTGAGTGATTCAAAATTTGAATGGTTTGAAACAGCGATCGGCGATCGTTTGCGGAATTAAATGCACCTGAAAAGCGAGCATCGCAAGGCCAGCCAGATCAACTCTGCCAGACGATGCCCCGCTTCGGTAAGAGCGCACGCCGCAAGAATTACAACAGCCGCAGCAATTGCAGCAAAACCCAAGGGAGAGATATGCATAGGCGGACAGACAATCCTAACGCATAAGTCCATGTGCAGCTTTGACCGGAAGCAGCCTTTGGCCCAAATCCACTCCGATGTGCAAAACAGAACCTCCGCGCCTCGTTTTACAGTTTTACTGTCTCTTCTCGCCGCATGCCGCTGACCGCTCACCTCAAGACTCACACCTTCTGCCCTAAGCGCCCTTCCCTTCCCATCCCTCCCGTCATCCCGGGTAAATCTCTCCCTTCCCCTTTCCTTCCTCTCCCCCCAACCTCCCCCCCCCCTACCGAACCTACGATGTACTACATCAAAACAAACCTTTCAGAACATGGCATCTCCCCGGCTGCGTTCACCGCAGGTCCCCTACTTCCCCCCTTGAAGGGACCCCCCATGTGGCTGTGTCCCATGCTCCCTCGCACTGCATGATGCACAGCCTCAACCTCACGGCCACACACGTGAGCCCTAACCAAAAAGCCAGACACGCCAGCAATCCTGCTCCGTACTCCCAACCCCTGATCCACCCCTGGCCCCCCCTAGAGCCTCTCTAGGCCCTTAAAAAGAGGAGGGGGAGGACGACAAAGGCACGGAGGGGGCACGACGCAGGGTTGTGCCACTTCCACAACCGGCAAACAAGCCACCGCCACCACCACTATGTCTGTCTGTCAGTCTGTCAGTCTGTATCGCCTTCTCCCTCTCCCGCTCTCTCCCTCTCGCGCGCATCTGTGTATGTGTGTATGTTTTCGCGCGTGCGCATAAGCCACACGCGCGCAATGCCACGCACAAGGCTTGGGCTCAACACCCCCACCCCCACCCCCTCCCCCGTCCCTTTCCTTTCCTGAGATAGCGCCCGTGGGTTAGGTTTGCACCTGACTCAGCGGCGGCAGCCCCTCCACCTCACCTCCGTGGTGCGGCTTTCACCACCCCCACTCCCCCACTACCACTGCACTGCACTGCACTGCACTGCACTGCACACTACCCCTCATTCCGCCAGCCAGCTTCGCGTTACCGGCGGGTGCTCACGCAGAGGACCTGCCTTCTGCCCCCGACATCTGCCCCCCGACGCTCTGAAAAACACACATACGTACATACGTACGTACATACACCACATACATACACACCTACAGAAATCATACCTCTAAACGCGACATAATACGGCAGCAAAGCGCATCTACCCCCATTCCAAAGGTTCCAAGGGGCTGTGCACCACCCACCACCACCACCACCACCACCACCACCTCACCATCACCCACTACCGGCACTCGACTCGACCCAAACACACCGTACCACACCTTCGCACCGCCGCGAGAGCGGAACGAACCCAGCGGCAGCAGCAGCAGCAAGGCCCAATAAAAAACCCCGGCCCCTCCGAATGGGGCGGACGGCACGAACCGAAGACAAACATGTGTAGCTGCAATTCCGTTTTCCATGAAGCGAATTTATATAAATATAAAAGGCCCCGCAGACTCAGACTCAGACTCAGCCGCTCCACGCCTCCAGATCAGATCTGAAGTACGGACTAACTGACTCAACGAACTAACGGCGGCCTGAGGACGCTGCGGCTGATCCTCGACCTGCTCCCCTCGACAGCATACCGTGGGGCCCTATGGCGATGCTCACTCGGGCTCTCCGACCACCGCCCCGACCACCACCACCACCGCCGCCACTGCTCTCGCCGCCATCTTCACCATCACCACCACGACTGTCGTACAACTCCACGCCTGACATAGGGCCCACGAGATCTCCCTCCTCGTCACCTGCGTCACACGCATATCGGAGCTTTTTAGAGGAGTTAGGCGGCAAGCGTATCGAGCGATCGTTGACGACGCTTACATAGGCAATGTGACGTTGCGCATCCAGGCAGTGAACATATATTTAACATATAACATCTTAGTATATAAAAAATAACATAATATATAATACAATATAAATAATATAAGATAATACAAGATAACATGATATGATGTGATATAGTAGACGTGAATAGCTAGATAGCAGCTGGTGCCGTACCCAGGAGAGGAGAGGGCCTCTTCGAGCTCAGCAGCACAATTGACCCCTCTCTCCCCCCTCACCCCTCCCCATAAGCCCCCGGGACGCACATCACCCCTTCCCCCAACACGGGAAACTCATAATCACTTGAACCCA